AAATACATTCGTATTAAGAACCTCCCCCTTTTTTTTGAATTTTGTTGAAAATCTAACAAGAACGATCACTAGCAATGAAGTTTTAGTGGAACATTTAATTTTATGTGTCTTTAATCAGAGCATCTTTAATTTTACGCTTCGTGTACACGATTTCAGCAGTCCCCAATTATACTTTAAAGAAATCGTTGAATCAATGAATAAATTTGTTTCTTGTCTTTATTGCTTTCGTTGACCGAGAACCTCCTTGTGACATTTTATATTTAAATAATACATACCGTTATTTACTCTGGTTAGTTCGTATACATTTTTTAGTCTCGAAAAGATAATGTTTTTGGTTATAATAAATTATAATTATATTTTTGCTTACTTATAAATCATAGTTGTATTACTAAATGATTTCGTTTTAGATTTTAAGCGATATAAGTTCATAAATTATTAATTAATGACGATAAAAGAAAAAAGCATTGCTACTATTTCACTACACTTTGTATAATGCCCTGAATGAGAAAATTTAAATTCCACAGTCCACCCTTTGTATTCTTTTATATTAAGGAAAATAAATAATACATAAATAAATAAATGATAATCTAAAACAAATACCTAAAACTCCATAAGATTAATTCTCACCAAATTTTAAATTCAAATATATTTTACAGGCTGTAAATTTCCGACTCACGCCCCTCCAAACCGTTATATTATGTTTGTAGCACGAATAGGTCGGCTCAACCGGGAAAGGACCACTCTATCACAGAACACAAAATAACCAGCAGAATTATACTCGTATTGTGTTTCATATGCTTTTACTGGTATTTCTCTCTCTCTAGTCGGTCCCTCATAACTGAGGATCGTGATCACCATCACGGAGAGTAAATTTATTGTTTATAATCTCTCTCCACCGGGTCCTATCGCTGGCCATACGGAGAGCGTCGTAGAAATTTCGCGCACCGACTTCTTTGACTTGGTCGGACCACCGGGTTGGAAATCTACCTCTGGGCCTTCTTCCCTCTACGTTTCCAACAACTATCAATTTTTCGATACTTTCGTCCCCGCGGCGAGAGATATGACCAAAATAGCTGAGGATGCGCTGAAGACATGTGGTGGAAAGACGCGTCTTGATCTTGAGTTGCGATAGGATTGACACGTTTGTGCGCTTCGCAGTCCACGGTATTCGCAGCATTCGCCGCCAGCACCACATTTCGAACGCATCAATTCTCTCCCTTTCTCTGACGCGTATAGTCCACGTTTCCACTCCATAGAGAAAAATTGGGAATATAAGAGTATATACTAGGCGTAATTTAGTATTATTTGTTATGCTTCTGTTTCTCAGATGTTTGTCAGCCTGGTCATCGCATCCTTAGCTATTGCTATTCTACGCTTAATTTCGGGAACGCAAGTACCCTCATTTGAGATCAGAGATCCCAGGTATATATAACTCTCCACAACGTCGATCCCTTGAATGCTGCAAGTGTTGGAAAGTTTGCTAGCCCGGTCTATAACCATGAGTTTCGTTTTATTCCTGTTGATTGACAGACCTAGCTCTTCGCTTTCTAATTCTAGCTTATGCAGCAGCTCCTCCATGTCCTCATAAGATGTTGCAAAAAGCACAGTGTCGTCCGCATATCGCAAGTTAGCTACCCTTTTACCCCCAATATGAAACCCTTTATCCCAGCCTTTCATGGTTTTCCGCATGATGTACTCCCCATATATATTAAAGAGCAACGGAGACAGTATACAACCTTGTCTCACGCCTTTCGTAGTCATAAACTCTTTGGAAAGACTGCCATCGAGTCTCACATAAGATCGGTTGTTATCATACAGGTTGGCAATTAGGCTGACTAGGTGTGTTGGTACTCCCATTTCGACCAATATTGACCATAGTTTATCCCAACGGACGCAGTCAAATGCCTTACTGTAATCGATGAAGCACAGTAACACTGGATTGGCAAACTCGCGACTCTTTTCAATAATCTGCCTGATATTTAAAATTTGTTCTCTTGTGCCCTTGCCCTTTACGAAGCCATTTATTACCATTTATTACTGGTATTTAATCGGTAATAAATCACATCTATGGGATACAGTATACAATTTTAATTAGGTGGACTCATTCTATTCACACTTTTTCTATTATTATTGTTATTGCATTAATGTGTTTTTTAAAATAGTCGGCTGTGGCAGAATACCAGCGGTGAACTAAAATCACCACATAGCTGAGTCACAGGCCAGTTTGTCTCATTACTATTATGTTACTTAAGTATGTTTCTAAGTAAAGTTTGTTATGATTTCTATCTGTATTTTTTTAATAACATGTGTAAACTGAGACAAATAAAAAGCTTATTATTATTATTTAGGTTATTAAAAGACTAAACATATCTGGTTGGGCTGGATAAATATATAAAGGGAAAATAAATATACTTAAATATATATTTAATATACTAAAATAAATAAATAAATAATACATAAATAAAAAAAAGCCCAACCAGATGGAAGCCCTCGGCAGGGGAGACCAAACGGCCGAGGGTTAAGGGGAAAGGGAAAGAAAACGGCGGGCGATGCGGGCGGTATCGAGTAGCACCGCCTTCTGCATTTGAGCCCGGAGCGGTCCGTCACGGAGTCCCAGTCGCCTCAGATGGCCCGAAAGGCTGGCTGGGATTAACCCGTTTGCAGACACGACTATAGGAATAATTTCGGTCGGCAGACCTACCCACATGTCGGTCACCTCGTGAGCCAGGTCCAGATATTTTGATTGCTTGTCTGTTTCGGCTTTCACGAGGTTCTCGTCATACGGAATGGTAATGTCGACCAAAAATATCCTTGACTGTGCCCAGTCCATCAGCACAATATCAGGCTTATTCGCAAGAATAGTCTTGTCTGTGCTGATGGCCCGGTCCCAGGAGAGCCTGGCGCGGTCATTTTCGAGCACGGCTTCCGGCAAGTACTTGTAATACGGTAATTTTCGGTCCACGAGACCGTATTTCAGAGCGAGCTCGTGGTGTAGAATTCTGGCTACTAGGTTGTGCCTGTGCAAGTACTCAGAGTTAGAAAGCGCCGAACAACCGGAGATGACATGCCTAAGTGACTCCCCGGGATGGCGACAAGCTCGACAGATGTCGACAGTGCCATCCTTTAGGATGTATCTCCGACAGTTGTTGGTCTTAATAACCTGATCTTGTATTGCACAGACAAAACCCTCGGTTTCCCCGAAGAGGTCACCGAAACGTAGCCAGTTGAGGGAGGCGACTGTATCTACGAAGGGCTCATGTAGAGGCCTGTAGTACCTCCCGTGGAGCTCCTTCTCCTTCCATATGGTCTCCCGGTTGGAAATGCTAAGCACTGCTGGGTCCTGCCATTGCTCGTTGGCTAAGGATAGAGGGGTAAGCACTTTATCACTAGAAATGACGTCATTATAGAATGGATCATCCGATCTCGCCAGGAAGTAATTACAGAGGCTGCACACTTCGCGATTATGCATGGTGAGCGCGCTCAGAAAACCACGCCCACCATGCTTTCGCGGCAAGTACAGCCTCATTACCGACGATCTCGGATGATGCATCCTATGGTACATCATGGTAATGCGGACTTTTCTATCCAGAGCGTTAAGTTCAGTCTGGGTCCACCTGAGTATGCCAAAGATATACATGAGGACAGGCATGACCCAACCGTTATATGCGTGTATCTTATTCACACCGGACAAAAGGCTGTTAAGCACTTTGGTCAAGCATGCATAAAACACGTCGCAAACTGACTGTTTCATACCAGCCTCATCGATACCGATGTTCTGTGACATACCCAGGTATCGGTATGTTTCAGCCTCGGAAAGGGTCCTTAAGTTGACGGACATAGATAAGTCTATGCGCTCAGAGTTAGCAACCCTTCCCCTTTCTACATGGAGGACCGCACACTTATCCGTTCCCAGCTCCATTCCAATAGAATTGCTAAATTCACAAGTGATGTTTAGCAATTCCACAAGATGGGAGCGACTGGAGGCGAATAATTTGAGGTCATCCATGTAGAAAAGGTGGGTCACTTTTGTACCTCATTTCCGAAGCTGAAATCCCGTCCCGGAGCCCTTTAGTAAAGTACTGAGAGGGTTCAGAGAGAGGCAAAACCAGATTGGACTCAGACGATCGCCCTGGAAGATACCCCTTCTTAACCTTATGTGGTTCTACGCAGCCATCATCCGCTCGTCTAGTTAGCAAAGGATCGTACTCCATTGCCCCGTACATTGCTCGAGGAAGTCTCCAACAGTACAGTCAATTTTGTACAGCTGGAGGACTCTATTTAGCCATGTATGGGGCACCGAGTCGAATGCCTTTCTGTAGTCTATCCAGGCGGCGGAGAAATTCCGACGGTTGCGTTTCACCACTTTGCCAACGACCGCGTCAATGAGGAATGGTTCCTTGGTTCCACGACCACCGCTCCTACATCCATTTTGAGCGCGTGACATCACCTGACTTAGCTCCAGGTGACGAGTGATTCTCGCGCTCAAAATGGATGTCAGTGTCTTATATATGGTGGGTAGACACGTGATGGGGCGGTGTTTGCTCGGGTCTGTGGTATCCTGATCTTTAGGAACCAAATGAGTGATCCCAGTAGTGAAGAGGCTCGGGAACGACTTCTGATCGAGAGCCTCTTGAAACTGTCGGGCGAGCACAGCGTGACATACTACGAACCCCTTCAGCCAGTAATGATGCAGCCCGTCGAGCCCCGGAATTTTTCCAGTTCGGGGCCCTACGGACCGCCTCAGCCACGTCTTCAGGCGTTATGATGACGAGGTCCATAAACGTAACACTTGCACTCTGGCTCGCCACAACTTCCATCCAAGATCCCTCGCTGTGGTTTAAGCGCTCTGACCACAGGCTACGCCAAAATGCATCAGTGTCAGCCTGATCCGGTCCTGGGCCCGCTCCACATACCTCTGGTCGCTCCAATGATTTATAGAGCCTCTTCTGATCACTCTGGAAGAGAGGATTCTAGTTGAACCGCCTTGACTTCTCGCTAAATCATCGAATCCGCTTCCCCCAAGCAGCGATTTTTTGCTTCAGGTCATCTATGCGCTCCGTTAGTTTTTGTGTGATATCTGGCTGGGACAAACTAAAATTTGTCCGAACAAACGCCATTCTAACGGTGCGCACAACTCTCGGTCTATTATTACCCGACCTGAAGCTTGTCAGTCTGCCGATAAGGGCCCTTGCCTTTGCGATACGGTCCTCAATTCTTTTTCTCCAGGCTGGGTTGGCGCTACTTTTTTGAGTAGCACGTCCAGCCACGGGAAGTTTGGCGCCAATAATACGGCATACTGCCAGTGCGGCGCCAAAAAGAATTGAATCCGTCTCGCAAAGGTCCCGGCTGGCTTCCAAATAGGTCACCAGCATTGGGTTAAGAGCCCGCACGACAGCCCGATTTCGCTTGCTAAGGGGTATGCGGGGAAGTCGCGGTCGATTTTCGAGAGGCATGCTGCGCGTTTCCAGCATCGACTCTTCCAATATGCTCCTCATTTTCTCTAGTTCGTGGGAGACTATTCCATCATCGTCTGAATTAGCCACAAATGGAATGTTTACGGCAGCATCCACATATGTACTTTGTTGCGCATCTAGTGGCGCCGCATTCCAAGCCGTAGCATTTCCATTCGATGAAGGAATAGCCTCACGTCGTAGTCGTTCGAGTTCAGCGTCACCAAATATGTTTGAGCGCAGGATGTACCGAACTCGCTTTGCCAGGTTTTGCTCAGTGATGGATAGAGATGGCTCCAGCTCTGCAAAAAAGCGATGCATCCGTGCCCGATACGCCAAACATCCAGTTTCTTCCCCTATTGTCCTAAAATACGCCCGCAGTGCGTTTGCAATTCATTAATTTTGACCAACGCATGCGACGTGCTCGACCAGCGGCGGGTGCCGCTTGCTGAGTCCGAGAAGACCCAGCCGACACCAAGCCTTCTGGTGGGGATGATGGATGCGGGGGGCTGCTAGGTGGTCTTGCAACACCCCGCGCTCGGCTGGCGGCCCGCATGCTGTCGCGTCCAGCGCCAGCTCCAGACGCGCCCTGGCGACCTCCAGGCAGCGGCACTTTGCGCACTATCTTTTTTTCCATCATCCATAATTTGGGCGTCCATTAACGGGACACGCCCAGGCCCGGAACCGTATCGTGGACGGCCATAAGCACAAACGGGCCTTTGCACCCTGAATTCTGCCGAGGCACGGCGCTCACACCACTCGCAAGGCGCTGACTGACTGCGTTGACGTAGCAGTTTTGTCACTTAACTGTTACGTCAGCGGATGATGGGGTCGTCAATTCCCTACGCCATTTTATTATTATTATTATTTGGGGTATCTATATAGTTTTCTCATCTGTTTGGGTTATATAAATATATAATTATTAATTAAAATGAAACGATAAATATACATAAATATCAATAAAATAAAATAAATACAAAAATACATAAATACATAAAAGCCCAAACAGATGGAAGCCCTCGGCAGGGGAGACCAAACGGCGGCCGTTTGGTCTCCCCTGCCGAGGGTTAGGAGGAAAGGGAAAGAAACCGGCGGACAATGCGGGCGGTATCGAGGAGCACCGCCTTTTGCATTTGAGCCCGGAGCGGTCCGTCACGGAGTCCCAGTCGCCACAGATGACCAGAGAGGATGACTGGGATTAGCCCATTCGCAGAGACGACTACAGGAATAATTTCGGCCGGCAGACCACCCAACATATCGGTCACCTCGTGAGTCAGGTCCAGATATTTTGTTCGTTTATCTGTTTCGCCTTTCACAAGGTTCTCGTCATACGGAATGGTAATGTCGACCAAAAATATCCTTGACTGTGCCCGGTCCATCAGCACAATATCAGGCTTATTCGCAAGAATAGTCCTGTCTGTGATGATGGCCCGGTCCAAGTAGAGTCTAGCGCGGTCATTTTCGAGCACGGCTTCCGGTAAGTACTTGTAATACGGCAATTTCCGATCCACGAGACCGTATTTCAGAGCGAGCTCCTGGTGTAGAATTCTGGCTACTAGGTTGTGCCTGTGCAAGTACTCAGAGTTAGAAAGCGCCGAACAACCAAGGATGACATGCCTAAGGGATGGCGACAAGCTCGACAGACGTCAATGGTGCCATCCTTTAGGATGTATCTCCGATAGTTGTTGGTCTTAATAACCTGATCCTGTATTGCACAGACAAAGCCCTCGGTTTCCCCAAAAAGGTCAACGAAACGTAGCCAGTTGAGGGAGGCGACTGTATCTACGAAGGGCTCATGTAGAACCCTGTAGTGTAGAAATTGTCTGCACTGCCGGGTCTTGCCATTGCTCGTTGGCTAAGGATAGAGGGGTAAGTCCTTTATCACAAGAAATGACGTTCTTATAGAATGGATCATCCGATCTCGCCAGGAAGTAATTACGGAGGCTGCACACTTCGCGATTATGCATGGTGAGCGCGCTCAAGAAGCCACGCCCACCTTGCTTTCGCGGCAAGTACAGCCTTATTATTATTATTATTAAAAAAATATATAGTAATACTTACAAAGACAAATTTCATTCAATAGTGGTATGCAATACCCCATATATATCTCAATCTATCTTCAATTAGGTATCAAAATTCTAATTCATTGTCACCTTTATGAATTAATATGGTGTTTTTGGTTAAGTACCAGGTCCTTTTTAGTCGATACGTCAAAATACAGTCAAAATACATACATTACGCTGCATATTCACGATAGCACTCAATAAAACATGCGGTCTTGTTGGCCAATTCTTGCTGTAGGCATACTACTCCATAGCGTCCATAGCGTAACTCTACTATGTATAAATGCTGAATTTAATAATAGCAACAACTCCTAACAATTGTGTTAAATATGGAACTATGTACGGTTTCATAAATACTAAAAAGTGCTGTGTGTTCTCGTCACTATCAATAATATACACAAAAGCAATCTCCTGATATTTTACGTTATTCTATACTAGTTGACCTATTCGTGCTGCAGCTGGTTTTCTAAGTATCGTGGCTCTAACGCCTATAATACGACCAATGGTTCACTGAATGTAATGAGTTTTTTCATTAATATAAATCAGAAAAACACTGTTTTTTCTAAGAATATATATATATATATATTATTATATATTCGAAATATACAACTTCGTTATCTAAACATTTCTGCCATCTCGAAGAAAGATCATCTATGCTTTTGCGATAAAACTCTAGGGATCTGGCCTCTACAAAGTCTATGAAGGCACTCTGTATAGTTTCCTGGGAACAGTATTTTTCCTTGCAAATAGTAATAATATAGCAAAGACTTCACGTTCAATTTTTATATGTTATATTAAGATTAATTAGGGAAACATAATGGACCAACTTTATCGCTTTGACGATACTAAGTAGTTATGTGGCCTGTCGCCTAAAATCACTGATTAGGTGATTAATTAAATTTCGTTCAATGATCGTACGAGGGGTGATCCAAAAGTAATGATAATGAAAATAAAACACGGTAATTAAAGTTAAAATAATTATTTATTTTTCTACATAGTCTTCTAACAAATCAATACATTTAGTCCATCTTTTTTCTAAACCCAGGATTCCCTTTGAAAAAAATTCTTTGTAAACCCTCCCAAAACGCTTCAACAGCGGCCATTACTTCGCTATCGTCTTCGAATTTCTTGCCTCGGAGCCGTTCCTTGAACCGAAGAAAGAGGTAGAAGTCACTAGGAGCTAGATCTGGTGAATAGGGAGGGTGTTCCAGCAGTTCTAATCCCGTTCTGAATGGCAGCCATCGCAACTGCGGCTTTGTGAGCCGGTGCGTTGTCTTGGTGAAACAGCACTCCAGCTCGCAGTTTGCCGCGTCTTTTTTCCTTAATGTCTTTTTTCCTTAAATTTTTCTTATTTGATCTGCGTAGTAAGAGCCCGTAATAGTGGCTCCCTTTTACAAATATTCTACCATAATTATGACTTGAGCGTCCCAAAAAACAGATGCCATAACCTTTCCTGCCGAACTTGAAACTTTGAATTTCTTTGGCGTCTGTGAGGAGGCTCGCTTCCAAGTCATCGATTGTGTTCTTGGTCTCGTCCATAGTCACAAATCGGAACAAAAAAATTTCTTGATCTGCTTGGAACTTTTCGAGATTGACCCTCGAAATGTCAACTCGATTTTTCTTTTGCTCGTCGGTGAACATTCTGGGTACCCAACGCGCAGAGACCTTTTTCATATGCAAATCGTTCGCAAGGATTCTTTGAACGCTGCCATATGAGATCCCTGTGCGTGCCCTCAGCTATATGCCTGATGGTCACTCTTCGATCTGCCAACACATCTCCGACTTTTTTCACTTTGTCTTCAGTGAGGGACGTGGATGGGCGTCCTTCGCGATTTTCATCTTCAGTGGATGTTCTGCCCAGTTTAAACTCCTTGGCCCAGCGTGTAACTGTAGAATATGGAGGAGCAGAGTCCCCCAATGTTTCCACTAAGTCACTGTGTATGTTTTTTGAAGAGATTTTTTTCAAACAGAGGTACTTGATGACGGATCTAATTTCGTTTTTCTCCATGTTGATATTATCTCTTTGACAGTTCGTATTCAAATGAATGTATTTCCCGGAAATCGTGATCTATTTATATGATTTTTTTAGGCTGATGTAGTGAGTATATAAGCAAGCAAAAAATATTTTTTTTGGATTTTTATGCGGACCTGAAGTAAACGATTATCATTACTTTTGGATCACCCCTCGTAACTATAAAGTCCCCTTAGTCTGAAGGACGTTAATAAAATGCAAGAATTAACATAAAGGTCGGAAAATTATATCTAGAGAAATATTGTAGATACATTCTTAATCTGATTGGTCATTGGTTAAGTGAAATTTGCAGACAGTAAAATATATTACATGTTGAGACAACCAGAGAAAACCCAACACATAGTAGTCAAGTACTTAGGTAATATTACACTATATATTCAATAGTATATCTATACTTATAATAAATCTGTAGAGAGGTCAATTCTGTTCATAAAATATATTTCCAAAATAACTATCAGGGGCTGATTAGTGATCAATACTAATGCTAAAAATGCAAACAGTAAAATTTTTTTTTGTCTATCTGTCTGTATGTTTATTATAGAAACAAAAACTACTCGACGTATTTTAACGAAACTTGGTACAATCATTCTTCATAGTCCTGGGCAGGTTATAATATACTTTTTATCACGCTACGATTAATAGGAGCATAGCAGTGAAGGGAAATGTTGGGGAAACGGGAGAAATTAATCCATGTTCCGTCCTTAATGGTTAAAGCTGCACAGAAATCATGTATAATGGAAATGTTCTCCTTAAAATTATATAAAAAATATCCCACCCACGAAAGCATATGTCTACCTTTTATGGTTGTCTCACGTGTAACTCCCGATAGCTTAGCAGTTCGGAGCTTTCTGATTATATCTGTCTACTCTTACGTTTATAACAATCTCACTCATCCCTAATTAAAAAAGTTAACATTATTATCTATTCAATGATGAATTATTATCTATTGAATAAAAAGAATCATAGAAATCGGTATAGAAACACCAAAGTTATACATGAAATATGCTAATAAGCCATCGCGCGTGAATACTGAATCATGCTATAAGGATTATTTTTGTGTAACGGTGTCCGCGCTCTACGCGGCTCGCGGCGGGAGGTATAAAAAGGCGGGGGGCCCTAGTGCGAGTTGTATCCTTTAATATTCGCGGTTTGCGAAATAACCTCCCAGAGCTTAAGCTCTTTCTTCGGAATCGTGAAACCGATTTCCTCCTCCTACAGGAAACTAATCTCAAAACTAAGGACACTAAAGGCCTTTATATTAAAAACTTCTCTCTTCTTCGTAATGACAGACCCGACCGTCGAGGCGGCGGAACGGCCATCAGCACGGCATATTACAAGAAGACACTTCACTGCTCGCCCATTTCTACTCCGCAGCTTACCAACATGGAAGCCACGGTATGCAGGCTAGCTATGACTAGACATCAGTCCATCCTCAAAGCCTCCTGTTACATCCCTTCAGGAACCCATCCCCTCAAAAAAGATTTTGAGGCTATCTTATCTTTAGGCAATTAAAATAGAATTAAAATAAAATAGTCATTATGTTTGGAGATTTTAACTCCAAGCATACTGAATGGACATGCCGTACTACCTCCCCTAGTGGCAAGATACTGCTCGATATCACGCAGTCTCATATATCACCGTCCATAGTCTCCTCGGTGTTACTCACTTTCCTGATAACACCGATCACGCCCCCGATGTACTAGATTTTGCGTTACTCCAAGGAGTGTCTCTCAACCTCAGAGCAATCGAGACACTAGATGATCTAGGATCCGACCACCAACCGGTCTCCCTCATTCTTGGCCATCAGCCGCCTCCCCCAACACACACGAAAACCTTCACTAATTGGAAAGGATTCAAGAAGTCCCTAGCTAAAGCTCTGGACTCACAGGACTCTACCATCTCCCTACCGTCGGACTTAGACAGTCCCGAAAAAATCGACACAGCGGTCGATTCACTTTCCACCCTTATTAAATCCTCCATTCATCATCATCATCATCATTACAGCCCTTCACAAGTCCACTGCTAAACATAGGCCTCCCCCAAATAATGCCACAAAACACGGTCCTGAGCCACCTGCATCCATCGACTTCCTGCATGTCTTACCAGGTCGTCACTCCATCTAGTGGGAGGTCGCCCTACACTACGCCTACCGGTACGAGGCTGCCACTCGAGAACCTTTCTTCCGCATCGGTTATCGGTTCTTCGAGCTATATAGCCAGCCCATTGCCACTTCAGCTTACTAATCCGTTGGGCTATGTCGGTCACTCTGGTTTTACTGCGGATATCCTCATTTCTGAGTCTATCACGCAGAGAAACTCCGAGCATAGCCCTCTCCATAGCTCACTGAGCGACCTTGAGCGTCCTCATATGGCCAGCAGTGAAGGACCACGTCTCCGATCCGTAAGTCATAACTGGTAACACGCACTGGTTATACACTTTAGTTTTCAGAGATTGAGGCATACCTGACGAGAAGATGTGTCGTAATTTCCCGAACGCTGCCCAGCCGAGTTGAATCCGTCGATTGACCTCTCGGTCGAAGTTGGACTTACCTAGTCGGACTATTTGTCCCAGGTAAACGTACTCGTCAACAACTTCGAGCATAGTGCTCCCCACAACTACCGGCATAGGTGTGACATGGACATTGAACATAATCTTTGTTTTGTCCATGTTCATCTTAAGACCTATCCGTTGGGAGACACCATTGAGGTCATTGAGCATAGTGCTAAGTCCCTCCAGCGATTCTGCCATAAGGACTATATCGTCGGCAAATCGAAGGTGAATGACGTACTCGCCATTGATGTTAATACCGTATCCTTTCCAGTCGAGTATCTTGAAAACGTCTTCCAACGCAGCGGTGAAGACTTTCGGGGATATAACGTCACCCTGTCTTACACCTCTCTGCTGATGGATAGGTTTCGAACTCCGGTATCTGTACTCGGATAGCCATCGTAGACCTACTGTACAAACACTTCAGCACCTCGATATACCGACAGTCAACTTGGCACCGCTGAAGGGACTGTAGCACCGCCCAAATTTCGACGGAATCAAAGGCTTTCTCATAGTCCACATACCTCAGGCAAAGTGGCAGATTGTACCCTTCGGTCTTCTGTACAATCTGCCGCAGGGTATTTATGTGGTCTATGGTATTGAAGGCTTTTACGGAAACCGGCTTGTTCGGGAGGCTGGAAGTCGTTGAGTCTGCGTGCGAGACGATTCGTAATGACTCTCGAAAACAGCACGTAGACGCGGCTCAGAAGGGAAATCGGTCTGTAGTTCTTCTAGAGAGTGTTGTCGCCTTTCTTGAAGAACAAGACCACCGCACTTCTGCTCCACGCCTCCGGAGTAGTGCCACCATGGAGCACGGAATTGAAGAGCTTCTGAAGGACTTCAAGTACCGGTGTTCCACCCGCTTTCAGAAGCTCCGCTGTAATTCCATCCTTGCCCTGATGAAGCCCTGCCGTTTTTAAGGTGCTGGAGAGCTATTCTAATCTCGCTCAGACTGACGTCCGGGATATCATCGGAATAGTGTCGGGTAAGACTTGCTCTTGTATCGTTACTCACACTTGCGTGTGGCTCCAACGATGATGTGTACAGCTGCCCATAGAACCTCTCAATCTCACTCAAAATCTCAGGTTTCCCGGAAATGATGATGCCACACTCAGTCTTCAGCTTTAACTGTTGGCTCCTTCTGGCACACAGATCTCTGGCAAAGACTTTGGAGGCCTGGTTCCGCTCGATCACTTCCTTAATACGAGCAGTATTAAAGTTGCGTAAGTCTTGCCGCATGCATTTGGAGATCTGTCTGTTCAGTTGCCTGTATGCTGTCAAATCTGTTGACGATTGCAGCCTCATCTTCCGTCTAACAGCCATGAGATTAAGAGTGTGATCGGAGAGTTTTTGTGTTCTTCTGCGGCGTTCCTCCCTTAAGGAGAACAAAAGGGTCATCCCGGTTGGTAACAATAGTGGGCTTCCATTACATTTTAGCAACCTATTAAAAGCCAAAAAGCTGCTTTCCGGAAAGCAGCAAAATATCCCACCCCCAAATATAGGCGCACGGCCAATCGTCTTCAACAAGAACTCCGTTTCCGCCTCTCTGAATTTCGAGACCGACCGATTTTTATACGTGGTAGAGCCATGCTGCAGTTATATTAGTAGTATAGTTGTAGCACGAATGGGTCGGCTCGACCGGGGAAGGACCACGCTCTCACAGATTACCAGCGTGAAATAGTAGCTTAATGCTGCTGTTGCTGGTTGTGTAGAGAACCGGAGACCCTTTTTACTGGAAACGAGGCATTCCATCTTAGTCCTCACGGGTGACAACGCATCTGCATTTTGATTCGTAATCGAGGATAGATGTAGATGACTATGGCTCACAGCAACCACTTACCATCAGGTGGACTGTGTGCTCGTTTGTCACCCTATCCTATAAAAAAAAAGACCTCGAAAAGAGTAAACTCATGTAGAATATCTGTCCATCTCATACAGCGTACTATCAGATAGCTAGAGTCCCGACGGTACGGTTGCCTTCGAGAACGAGGAAAAGGCTGAGTGCTTTGCAGATAGCATTGCCGCACAATGCTCTCCTAGCTCTCAACCCATCGACCCCTCACACTTCCAGGCAGTGGAGAATGAGGTCCGCTGCAGCCAGCCTCCGAACCTACCTCTGTGTTCAATGATGAGATTTCACCCCTCATCAAAGGACTTAAGCCCAAAAAGGCTCCGGGCGCGGATGGCTTCTCCAACCAAGCCCTAAAACACTTTCCTGAGCGGGTGTTAACCTTTTTATCTATTATCTTCAACGCCTTACCTTACCTTAGTTACTTTCCCACTAAGTGGAAAGAGGCAACTTTGATTGTTATTCCCAAGCCAGGCAAGCCTCTCAACCTCCCCTCCAGTCATCGCCCCATTAGCTTCCTCAAGGCAATGGGCAAGCTCTTCGAAAGAGTCATCCAAACTCGTATGAGGCGCTATCTGTTTCCCACAGACGGGGACCCTCTTATCATTCCCCATCAATTCGCTTTCTCATGTCCCCAACAAGTTCACCGTATTGAGGAATATATCCTCAGCGGTTTTTATCCTCATCTTTATAAGACAATCGCGGTCTTTTTCGACATAGCTAAAGCTTTTGATAGAGTCTGGCATACAGGCCTTATCTACAAACTGTACAAAATAGGTCACCCCGGCTGTCTAGTACGTCTCGTGGCCTCTTACTTAAAGCATCGTACCTTTCGTTTTAGACACGAAGGCACGCTATCTTCACAGCGCCCTATCAAAGCTGGTGTCCCTCAGGGCTCAGTACTTGCTCCTCTGCTGTACATCCTGTTCACCAACTACATTCCCATCCCGTCGAAAGGTGTTCAGCTCTCCCTCTTTGCATACGACACTGCTATCTACTGCAAAGGTATCTCGATACTTTTCATACGGAACAAGGTTCAAAAGTCAGTTGACGACCTGGGAGCTTGGTTCAAAAAATGGCGCATCGATGTGAACCCGGAGAAGAGCTCCGCCATTCACTTCGATTATAAACGACGCCGTCTCAAAAAAACTCCACCAATACGTATGCTAGGGTACCCCTGTCCCCTGGCATACGACTGCCAAATATTTAGTTGTCACTCCAGACACAAGGCTCACCTTCAGGCCCCACGTCGAAAGAGTAACCCGTCACGCACGTTTTTACCTGAGTAGGCTCAACAGTATGTTGGGTTTACACAGTAAAATGTCCCTCAGAAACAAGCGTACCCTTTATAAGGTCTGTATATGACCAGTCATGTCCTACGCGAGCCCCATTTTTGCCCACGCCGACCCTAAAATTATTAACGAACTCCAAATAGTTCAAAACCTTTTCTGTCGTCGAGCTGCGAACGCACCTTGGTACGTCCGTAATGCCGACCTTCATCGGGACCTAGAGCTCCCTACAATTCAACAATTTCTCAAAAAACTCTCTGAGAACTTCTTCAAAGCCTCAGAGTCGCACTCCAACCATTTTATTCGTGAGGCAGCTACTTATGCAGCCCCACCCCCTCATATCCCATTATAAATGTATGGTAGCTATAGTTAGGACCTCTAACGTAGATTATTTTGTTAGGTAACTGAATGCCGTCGATTAAAAATAAAACACACAGTGCCACCTAAAAAACTATTATCTTTATCTCGAAATTCGAGAGAAGCTAAGAGAATGAGAAATGTGCATTCGCAAGAATCGGCAGAGGAAAGAGCACATTAAACTCTATGAGAGTTAGTGCCTCAACTTCTCTAGCCAATGAAAGCTCTCCAGAAAGAGAGATGCGATTAGCAGCTGACATAGCAAGACGAGCTACATCACGGGCGTCTCAAAGTTCTTCTCAACGAGAGCTTACTATTGTCCGAAAACAACATGTGTTATCCCGAGAAGCTGAAACTGCTTCACAACGAAAATTGCGGCTCACAGCTGACCGTGAACGGCATACATAATCTCGCGAGTCCGAAACCTACACTGAGAGGGAATTACGTCTCACAGCTGATCGCGAACTGTACGTACTATCCCGTCAATCCGAAACCTACACTGAGAGGGAAATTGCGTCTCACAGCTGACCGCTAACGTTATATTTTATCTTGAGAATCTGAAACTTTTACTCAATATGAAGACCGTTTGACAAATGATAGGGTGCACCATAATATTATTCGATCTCTTGAAGATGAACATGAGCATGAACAACGACTAGATTCGAGACGTGAATATTATAATTCTTTGAGATAAGAACTATTAATAAGTTTGTCTAATGAAAGATTAAGAATTGAAAATATTCGGTCTCTTGAAACGGACGAACAGCGAGAGGCCCCTCTTACTGCAGACAGATTTCGACATAGTCTTAATGACTTAGATGTATACATAGAAGATCGATCTAAAAATTCAGTGTCGTGGTCTGACAAATATAAAAGTGGGTTTACTTATAACCTCACAATTGATTACAGATCATTTTCTGTAATAGGCGATATGAACGTAGTATGTTCTTTTTGTAATGCTTCAAAGTGGAGAAATGAGTCGGCTGGTTTCTGTTGTTCTGGAGGTAAAATAAATTTGCCTTCGTTCGAAGATCCACCGGAACCTTTGAAGTCACTACTTTTAGGGGAGCGTGTGCAATCTAAACAGTTCTTAGACAATATTCGCACTTGTAATAGTGCGTTTCAAATGACATCCTTTGGTGCTTAACAAATCTCAGAAGGTCCTTTCATGCCTACTTATTAAGTTATATGGTCAGGTTTACCCTTTTGCCTGAAATCCAATCTAAGTTTCTTCAAATATATTTTTATTTATTTTATTTATTTATTACACAATTATAACATCATTACAGTTATTAAACCAATGCGATACTATAACTAACCTAAATATATGAAAACTACTGACTAATAAATAATAGTATGAAATCTATCAAATTGATGGTAAAATAAAATACTAATTAAAACATTACAATTTTCGACGCATTTGTATGCTGCAATTATGAATTTCGTCTCACTACATGCAAATATGTCAATATCCTGTGAGATGATATTAATATAGTGTATAGCCCACGACAATGGCGCATTCTGAAGCAACTTCGTCCTAGCAGCGGGCGCGAGGAGTAATGGGGGACGACGACGAGAACACACGTAATTATTAGGCACCCGCATATACACCGATATATCCATCCACGTAATACCTTCCACACATATTTAATAAGCTTTTTTCCGAGGCACACATTTACTAAACTCATTCTTTATAATGTCGTAAAAATAGTACAAGGAGGATTTGGCATCTTCTAACAGATATAACGAACTCCAGTCAATTGAACCTAATAACTTATACAATTTGAAGAAGTCACATTTCCTAAAATTCCAACCAGAGCTTTCTATTATTATATTATTATTATTAATATTATTACCAGTTACAGATGTACAGTTACTAATGGGGGTTCGCCCCCTGCTCGTGTCCGTTGCCGTGATTTTTACGGTCAGAGGTGGCTGCTACTCATCAATATTAACTAAAGACTCACCCGACAGTGATAATTCCACGTTACTTACCGGCAAGGTTGTTAATACCAAGTCCAGAATGCGATTGTTTACATTAAGCACTTCATTTACTTGACGAAATTCACAATATGATGCTATATACCCAAAATAATTTTGTATTTTTAAAGTCGAAGAAGGCATGTTAAAATCGCCGATCACTAACACTTTATCATATTTAATACACTCCTTTTCTATAAGATTAAATAAATACATATATTCTTTAACATCGCATTTTGGCGGTATGTAAACAACACAACAAAAGAATAAACATTTTTCACTACGGTACACCGTTGCACAAACAATCTCAAATAAGGTCGCATCCACATTAGCTACCGAAACGCGTTTCAAATTCAATCTGGAAGATGCAGCTAAGAGGACGCCTCCTTGTTTGCGTCCATCCACTCCATCACATCGCAGTATTGTGTAGTTTGGCGGAAAAAGTTTGCCATTATGTATTGAACTATTGAGACCTGTCTCTGTAATAGCAAACAGGTCGCACGAAGAACCCAAGAGACTGGTATAAAAATCTGGTGTTTTTGTTCTCAGTCCCCGTACATTCTGATAATATTGCCGTTGCTTTTTGGGTGTTTCGAAACCACACCCATTCATTGTACTGAGTATTTATTGGCCAGCAATCAGTACAATTAACTTTCTCAAATTGCGATTCGGGAACACCTATCATAAAAGACGCATAATCTCTTTTAGTTTTTGGGATTATTTTTTCAACTTTTATATCCCTCGAATCACAGATACTCTTAACATGTTCAGCTATAGCGTCTTCAGTTGTATCAGGATGAAGTGACCAAACGTGTAAAAATTTCTTTTTCTCAACCGCTTGGAACGACGAAATTAGGGCGTTTCTTCCTTTTTGAAATAGTTTAGGCTGAGTTTTCCTCACTTTTTTTTGATTAACAACTGTTTTCCATTCGCCAGATTCTGAATTTGAAAGTTGGTTGATATCTGTCTTTGTTTTAAGACAGTCAGTAGACGTACCCGCTTCTGCAATGTAGTCGCACCCTTAGCCTTAGAACGTTCAGTTGCGCGACGTTCACGCTCAGATAACGCTGGAATTTCCGTACCTGTTGCTATCTCCTTCCAACTTTGAGTCATTGGCATGGTAGTGATAACTGCACCTATTATCATCATTGCCCAACCGTTGTTCAATTTTAGCAGACAATTTTTCAATTACCCGCTTTTGGTCATTAATTACAATAATATTACTTTCGATCAGCTGTTTTTGATCATCTATTTTATTATTTTGCATCTTAATTGACGCGGATTGTGCAGTAATTTTTAATGGTCACTCTTCTATTTTCCTAGACAATTCATTAATGGGTTGGGGCGCGTTTTGTCTTCGTAGTTTGGCTGTATTAATATTGAGGTGACAAGTTTTTGCGAATTATTTAGAATGCCACTTCCACGTTGAATTTTGACATTTTTACCACTTTATGCAATAAATATCAAGAAACATGCGCGCGTGGCTGTGACTATGCGGCAAGTCGTACATATAATATATTTTGTATCCGACTACAACGAACAGTCGAATATAAGGAATCAATATTTCCCGAATTTAAATACTGAACTTATTTCACAACTTCAGAACATGTTGCATCAGGTTAATTCGTATGTATGCAGTTTTAAATCGGTATTAAAAGCTCTTCCTCAAGATGGTGATAACAATTATAAAATTGTTATAAATGCCGATAGGCGTTCAACTCACGAATACCCTGGGCGTTATAACGTTCCATCCACGAATGAAGTTGCTGTAGTATTGGTTGACCAGGAATATGGTAAGCGTGATATCGTTATGCGTTCCAGAGACAATCGGTTGCAACCTAAATACGTTGCAAATGATTGTCTCAACTGAACTCAAAACCTACAGGGCTTACGACAGTTTGCAATATCCTTTGATATACTCTCAAGGGTAAGATGGTTATAATTTCGCTTTATACCAAACTGATCCGCGTACAGGCACACCTTATTATAATAAAAAGATGTCATGCCTTCAATTTTACTGTTACCACTTGCAAGTGAGACGGTATAGATTTGTATACTTTCAACGTTTTCGTGGCTTATTCAATCAGTTTATTGTTGACATGTACGCAAAAATTTAAACCGAAAGATTAGTTTATATACGATCTAATCAAAGGCAGCGCGCGCTGAAGAATACGTGCACCTTCGCGACGCCATGCAGCAAGATAATGATACGGTGAATTTGGGCCGTTTGGTTATTTTATCCTCTTCTTTTACTGGTGGTCCACGCTGCATGCACGAACGTACTCAAGATTCTTTTTGTTACGTAAGAAAATATGGACGTCCCGATTTATTTATTACTGTAACTACCAATCCCAAGTGGGATGAAATCACTCGAGAGCTTATTGAGGTTCAAGCACCGCATGACCGCCATGATATTATCGCAAGAGTTTTTCATTTAAAATTAAAATCAATGATAGATTTACTTACCAAAGATAATATTTTTGGAGATGTATTGTGTTACATGTATAGTGTGTGTGTGAGTGGCAAAAACGCGGCTTACCTCACGCACACGCTTTGGTTAAAAAATAAGTTTCGACCTAATGATGTAGACAGTTCAATCAGTGCTGAAATTCCAGATCCGATTGCAGATCCCGTGTTATACGATATTGTTAAAACTCATATGATACATGGTCCATGTGGTGCATTTAACGGGAATGCTCCTTGCATGCCAGACGGTCGTTGCACTAAAAGATATCCAAAGGCATTAGTGGATGAAACTGTAACAGGATATGATGGATACTCATTATATCGTCGCCGTTTAAGAGACAATGGTGGTTTTACTGTTGAAACGCGAGTGTCTGGACAAGAGGTTACTTTAGGTAATAGGTGGGTCGTTCCGTATTCGCCTGTGTTGTCTCACATAAATATTGAAATGTGTAATAGTGTAGAGTCAATAAAATATATTTGTAAGTATATAACAAGGTCAGTGACCAAGCTCCATTTGCGTTCAGAAATGAACATGATGAAGTTACTAGATTTCAGTCAGGCAGATGTATCAGCTCTTCAGAAGCTGTGTGGCGGATCTTAAGTTTCAATATTCACGAAAGATATCCACCTGTGACTCATCTGGATGTTCATCTCGAAGGCGGTCAACGTATATATTTCAACGCCGAAAATGTTACAGAATGATTAGAAAACCCTAGACAAATAACTATTTTAGCATTCTTTCAAATTGTCGACGCCAAATTGATGATTTTGCAAAATCTCTTTTGTATGAGCAAGTTCCATCGTATTATATCTACTACAAGCAACGAGGTGTCTTTAATCGTAGACGCCGTGGCAGGCCTGTAGATGGCGAGTCAGGTATTTTCAAAGAACATGTTCTTGGTAGAGTGTATACCGTTCATCCTAACAACGCTGAGTGTTTCTATTTGCGATTATTATTACATACAGTGCGAGGATCAACATCATTTATAGATTTGAGAAAAGTAGACGATGTTGTTTATCCATCTTATCATGCAGCTTGCCAAGCACTTCATTTTCTTGAAAATGATCAGCATTGGGATGAAGCTTTAGCAGAATGCTGTGTTAGTGATATGTACGCTTTATTGTAACATTACTCACATTTTGTAATTTGTCAGATGCTGTACAATTATGGGAAAAATATAAAGAAAAATTTGCAGAAGACTTTCTTTGGAATATATCTCACAATGATGAAGGTGCATTTAATGATAATTTCCGTGATTTTACCATAAATCTGTGCTTATTAGCTCTTCAGGAAGACTTAACAGTAGTAGGCGGTAAATCACTCTATGAATATGGTTTGCCAACACCAACCTCAGTCGAAGAGGTAACCAATAGGGAATATTCCGCAGAGATTGGTTACAACTCAATGGAACTGCTGGCAACATTAGAAAACGGTGTCCCAATGATGACTGCAGAACAACGTTCAGTCTATGATCGCGTGTGCGAGAGTGTTCAGAATAATTTGGGAACAATATGGTTTTTAGATGCAACTAAGGTAAGGAAAACTTATTCTGACGCCTGAGTTATATTGTATAGTGCAATCCCAACCACATCTTATATCGTCGGTTTACGGTGACGTAACAATTATATTAAATAGGGAAAATTCTTGGCTATGCGAAAGATCTATTTTATGTCCTCGAAATGACCAAGCATATGAGATTAATAACGAAATACTGTCGAATATACAGGGGGAAAGCAAAGTTTATAGTTCAATAAATAGAATGGTCGATGAACAAGAAGCCACCAATTACCCGATAGAATTATTAAATTAGCCGGGATTTCCTTCTCATGAAATTTGTTTAAAATTGGCATTCCGATTATTCTGCTCTGAAATTTCAGACCACCATAACTTTGCAATGGAACTCGGCTAAAAGTAACCCAGTTGCAACAAAATATAATTGAGGCCCAAATTTTAACAGGTTGCGGTGCAGGAGAAACCGTCTTTATTCCCAGAATTCCCATAATAATAAATAATTTTTCATTCCAATTTAAAAGAACGCAATTCCCAGTATCAGTGTGTTATTCAATGACAATTAATAAGGCTCAAGGGCAGACTTTTCGTGTTGCTGGAGTAGATCTCGGTGTCAGTTGTTCCTCGCATGGTCAGTTGTACGAGAGTGGATTGAAAAGTACTCGGCCTAACACAGATCCATTCAATTCTAAAAATCAAATCTACCCACATTATTTAGTTCAGTTCAGACTAGTTCATTGTGTGAAGTTCGAAACGTGTGCGATAATTAGTTGTGATTTTATAAATTTATTAACAAAGTAATCGGACATAATTTCCGCGAATGGAGCAAATCGAGCAGCGTGCCGTCATTAAGTACCTCCATAAGAAGGGGCTATCATCAAAAGCCATCCATGATGACATGGTCAGTACATTAGGCGATTGTGCTCTGTCATATTCATCCGTCAAAAAATGGATAGCAGAATTTAAGCGTGGTAGAGAGAGTGTGAAAGATGAACCCCGCTCTAGAAGGCCTTCGACGTCAACTACTGACGAAAATATTAAAAAAGTACTTGATTTAATAATGGGAGACCGCAGATTAAAAATTAGAGAGATAGCCGAGATTAAAGGCATCTCTTATGAACGAACTCAAAACATCATTGTCAACGAGTTGGGTTTCTACAAGGTGTCTGCGAGGTGGGTTCCGCGACTGCTTTCAGTTGAACAAAAAAGGACGCGATTGACTATTTCACGCGACTGTTTGGAGTTATTTGAAGCCGATGCAGATGATTTTTTGAATCGTTTTGTTACTATGGACGAAACATGGGTTCATTACTGTACACCGGAAACAAAACAACAATCAAAACAGTGGAGAAGACCTGGTTCACCACCCCTAAAAAGGCTAAGTCGATTTTGTCGGCAAATAAGGTGATGACTTCAGTATTCTGGGACTCGAAAGGTGTGATTATGATTGATTATCTTGAAAGGGGTCAGACTATAAACTCTGATTACTACTGCACCTTACTACGTCGTTTACGAGAGGAAATAAAAGAAAAACGTCGAGGAATGCTCAGAAGAAAAGTCCTGTTTCATCAAGATAACGCCCGTGTTCACACGTCAGTACAGTCAATGGCTGAAATTCACAACTGTGGCTTTGAACTGTTACCGCATCCGCCGTATTCACCTGATCTGGCACCATCAGACTTCTTTCTGTTCCCTAACCTAAAAAAGCACTTGGGAGGTCAAAGATTTTCGACAAACGACGAGGTCAAAGCAGCTGTAGACGCATATTTTGACTCTAAGGAAGAATCATTTTTTTTCAACGGTCTAAATGCTTGGAAGGGGAGGTGGCAAAAGTGTATTGAACTTGATGGTGATTATGTAGAAAAATAAAAATATAACTGATTTAGTATGTGTTTATTTTCTTGGTTAGGCCGAATACTTTTCAATCCACCCTCTACGTCGCTCTTTCCCGGGTTAGCAGTTCTAGAAATCTTTATGTTCACGTGCCGGACGGGTCAACTTTCAACATAGTTTTCCCGGAAGCTTTGCGCTGAAGTATTTTTGTTCTATAAGTACTTAAGCCTCATGTGAACGTGATCTAAACAACATTACCAATATATTAACTTAATAACACACAAGGAGTTACACTCCAACCAAAGCCCAACGACACTATAACATATAGGAATGACGCAAAAGTTGTTTAGTCTGACGGGCATTTCCTGTTGACTTACAAAAATGAAAGGTCTAGAACGTCTCGAATCGTCTCGCGAATCACGTTGTTTTCCCGTCCCCGGGCTCTTACAATTCAACATCAGACGTTTCAGATCTTCGATTTTGACGACCCCTTTGTCGCTGGTATAAGCAACAGGATCCGCGTACGAAGTCGCGGGCAGAAGCTAGTTATAAATAATATATTAAAATATTAATAAAAATAATCGACAAACGAAGTGGTAAAAGGTTTTAGAGTGGCAGGTACTCGAATAGATTAACAAAGTGTAGAACCCCCGATCCTTAGTAGAGGTTATAAAAATGACGAAATATTATGGGCACATCTCTTAGGTTTATACTTAACTCTATGGCTCTATGATAACAGTATCTTGTGTGCTTTGGCGGACCGTTGGGACTCGCCGATGCTTGCTCGATGGATACGGCTGCACGCGGTCAAGTAGTCATCTTGCGGGCAGGGCCGGGTGCCATATTTGTTCGTGTGGTTTTTCTGTTTGTCCTTGTTTTATGTTATATGTGTTATGTTTCAATAGTCAATTACTAACATTAGTTATAAGCTCTAAAAATTGTTACTAACCTATATGGATCATGATGCCCGAAATAAAGGTTTATTATTATTATTATTATTATTATATGGGGTATCTATATAGTTTTCTCATCTGGTTAGGATGTATAAATATATAATTATAAATGAAAAGATAAATATACATAAACATTATTATTATTATTATTATTATTATTATGGCAAATATTACCTCTATAAGGCAATCCTATGGGGGTGGCCTATGTTCAGCTGTTGACTTTGATAGGCTGTAACGGTATGCACCTAAAACGTAACCTCACAAAATAATAAAAATTATTCTTGCTTCTTATTGATCCGTTGATTCTTTGCAATTTTGAAAATTTTATTCTTTATACTAGTTCAGTCTTTAATTTTTTATTATAAGTTAAAATGTGTTGTTTTGAATTTGAAGTATAAAAATGGAGATTGGATTGCTTACTTAAGAAAAATCGTTTTTAATTTCAACGAATTTCAATAATTGACTTCTGGCTTGTAGCAGACAGATGCAAAAGGAAAGTTATTACGACATTTTTTTAGTATTCAAGCAATAAAATCAAATCGAAATTGGTAATAAAAAGTTTCGCTTGAAGACATTCCCAGTGAAAATACTCAAGGAAATACATTGATCCAGTAAAATTGAATAAAACAAAAATAACAGCTATAACAGAATAAGGATTTTAATCCCAAGCGAAATAAATGTACTGGTTCAAAATTGCAAGTTGTACTTGGTTGCGCGGTAAAACAAGTCGTATTTTGTTTGGTTGGTTAGTAGCTGGCCAATGCCTCTCTCTATCCCATCTGCGCATTCCATCCACACGCACTTAAGGGGAGGGGTGACGTCATTTTGTACGCCCATAGGAGGCTGGATTAGTGGCGTCATTTTGATCGCATAGTAACAGAAAAGTGAAAGGGCCGGAACAATTTGCCAGCCGACCAGAGTCGTCGACGGGCCGCCGCCGCGCCGAGTAGTTGAAGATAGACGCTAGATGTGATTGCACCTGTGGCAGTCGACCACAGGACAACATAGTAGTACCTAACCACTTCGCGTAGTGCACTTTGCTTAAATGTCGAGCATCTCTTACAACGCAGTCGCAACCCAGAGATCATCGTCCTCGAGGCCGCTGAAGCAGTAAGAAGCCCACCCCGGTAAGTGCTTTCTTTTAATTTATCTTGAGCTGTTCTTTTGTTTTCTCTTTGCTATGTCCTTTTTTACTATCCGTTCAAATTTAATTCCCGTGTAAGGCTAGTGACACGTGACAAGTGACACCCACAGTGACAATGATAAAACTGAGCCTAGGCAAATGTAGTGAAAGACGCCCGACTAGACTCACAGACTAATTGGAGCGATGAATTGCTCAAGATCGCTGCAGGAACTACTAGAATTCAATTTCTACTACATACTAATACATTATTTTGATGACTAACAAATATATTTTTAGTTTTGTAAACAAAATTTAAAACATTTTGTTTAATTATATAAAAACAATAACTGTAGGTTAGGGCCAAGCGCTCGCTGTAAATTTAACTGTACATACATTTGGGACACTGGGTATTAAGCCCAAAGAAAATAAAAAGATTAGCGGTGAACTTAACAGAACATAACAGACTGACAAGCTAAAACATATTCCATTTTATGGTAAGTGGATGCTGTGGCCCATAAATACTGTTACGAGCTTGGGGTACGTGACAATAAAAACTTCTGATTGAATTACCAAACTTGACACTATAATTACCGAACATCAATTACAACTTGAAATAAACTAAAAATAAATCACACTGATCACTTTCGTTCACAGTTATATCGCTTCCAAGTATTCGCTTGTATTGCCAATTCAATACTCACTCGGTCGTGGTCCTTACCGGCTATACATACATACCAGTCCTGACCGACTAGGTGTAGAAAGTTCTAGTATGGAATTTTCTAGAAAGCTCACCTAGTCTTGCTACTCTAGTATTAGTACTACTAGATGGCGCTAGTGGGTAATTGTCACGTACCATTAATAAATTATGGCGCGCAACAATACCAACATCTATTCTTGATAAAAATCAAAATGCAGATGCGTTATCACACCTGAGGACTAAGATGGAAAGTTACGTTACTAGCAAAAGGGGTTTGCGGTTCTCTCCACACACCATATAAAACACTGCAGCATTTAGCTGCTATATTACGGTGGTGTGAGGGCGTGAGGCCTGAATACAGCAACAATGTGGCTCTACCACTTTGGAAACTTGCATTGCTATCCTAAAATGTCGTACGTTTTGAAGCACTTTTCAAATTAAAATA